TGTGCATATTTTATGACAAAGATGAAAATAGTTGACTGGAAACACCAACAACAGCGACTCAAAACTGCATGGAGCAGATCTAATTGCCTGCTTAGACAGCCTCATTCCTATGCAGCTGGCTTTGGAGAATACTAACCTGCACCCGGAAGCAAGAAATTTAAAAAGTAGTGTGTGTGTGTGTGTGTGTGTGTGTGTGTGTGTGTGTGTGTGTGTGTGTGTGTGTGTGTGTGTGTGTGTGTGTGTGTGTGTTTGGGTGGGTGTAGATGTGCATATTTGAGTGCATTAGGAAACAAATCCTTCTATTTCCATACGGCAAGCTGATACAACTGATAAAACCATTATAATGAGTGTGCAGGGATTTTTTGCTTCTGTTACCTTGTTGCGTCCTATTCTGCATTCTCAAATTAAAGAGAATTTACTGAATTAATTAGGAGGTGACCTTTCCTTTTTTCTGAGGGCGGAGCTGTAGTGTCAATGGGTAGGTTGGCTTAGTGAGAACAAAGGAAATCAGGGGTTTGTCTCTTACAGACTCTCTCAGAGATGCAGTCAGATAAAGATGGAGACGCGGGAGAAGGACTACTTGAGGAAGGCCACAGAGACCTACAGCCTCTGGATCACTCTGTAGATATGTTTTCATGTTGGTGATGGACTGTAAAAGATATGATCTTTAGCATTATAAGGCAAACGTTTGGTGTATTAGGCCAACAAAGATCTCCAGATACCAAGTGGAAACAACACCTTGCTTTTGCATGATAAAGTGTTGAATTTCTATGGACAACAGTCTAATGTGGTCACACAGTGTCCTAGTCTGAGATTTTGTGGAGCGAAATGTAAGTATACGATTGAATTCCTCCTAAATTACAGAATATTAGTCACAGCTAAGTCAATCAAAAACACTCATGTGCATATGTACTGTAGCTTCCATATTCCAAATTTGAAAACTGCTCAGCCATAGTATGAACTGTAATGTTTTCCCATGGAGCATGCCTCTGTGTTTGAGCATTTTTCACAACTTATGTCCATCTCCTGTGTGTATAACAGGAGCGTGAAAAAGCTGTAGGCCCAGAGTCTCAAACCCTGCTTGTGGCCCCTCCTGTGCCACACTGCCCCTTACACCCCAATTTAGCCAAACTGGTCTGAACCAACCAACTGGTCATTGTTAGAGCCCGACACTCAACGGATGGGTACAAGTTTAGCAGGTCAATTTTCTTCGCGAAATAGGTGGTGGTGGAAGTTTGATTACATAGAAGCTACTTCAAGAGCTAATTGGCGAACTTGTGCCAGACAGAAATCAATAAATCAAATGTTCTGACAAAAAAAAATAAAATAAATCCGGTATCTGTAGCAGTCAAAGGCCTGCAATAAGCCTATTCAGACTGAATGAAATGATTGTCTGGCTGACCTGCCTGTCTACCTCTGCGCACTCTGCCCCAGCACTCATTGCACATGACCTTGTCTTCCACAAGCTGGCCAGGCATATATTGCTAAAGCTACCACAAATGGCAGAGAATGACCAGTGAAAATGTATGGTTCCGCCTGTACCTACAACAGTTTGCACTTCTAAACAAAACAAGAACCAAACAAAACGTGTGGATAAAGCAACAGCTGAGAGTCAACCTCAACGATGGTGAGAACTGAGGGGCTGAGGGTAATTATCTGGCTTGTTTTGCTTTGGGGGTAATTTGTTCTCCTGAACTGTGTAAGAACTATGCATTAATTCGACATGAGGTAGTTGGATATGGTTAGCGATGACAATAATGTGCTATGCTCCTCTCAGGCAATTCATGTGTGTTAGGAGAGTGGCTTTCTCCAGTGTTACCTAACACTAGCTTTAACCAAAATCATCACAGCAGAGTATTTTTACATACTTTAAAAGTGTCTGGATGGAAACTAGGATGGAACTACATTGTTAAAAGAAACCAATATTGACGGGATGTGAACGACAGGCTCAGAGTTTGATGCTTTAAATCCCCAACCATCCATCCCAACCTCGTTATGCACAGGGCCACCGGAGGAAAACATACTGGAACTCGAATTTCAGTTATGATGAATAAATAGTAGAATTAAACCTTTCAAATTTCAAAGTACTCACTAAGAATGAGTGTTCTTAGTGAGTGACCAGTGTAGCATGTTGCCAGATGACACGACATGACAACCGTGTTTTTTACCAAAACCCCTTTGTGTCGGAATCCCTGCTGCGCCAACACAGTGATCTCATTAAAATGAATGAGGAGGGTGGGTTTTCTTTTTTCTTTGAAGCAGCACTACCATCTGAACACAGCCTTAGACCTTTTGACTCTTTCATCACTCCGGTATAAAGCCTCACAGACTGGCTGGGAAGGTAAACATCACTGTGTCGTTTGCAGTTCATTGAAACCATGTTATGGGATTTCTGGGCATTGAAGTTTTTAATATTCCAGCCCCACCATTTAGAGCTGCCAACGGTGCCTCGCAACTGCTTTCTGTTGGGTGTTTGGGGCATTCACTCTTTGTTCTCACCCTCTATTATTGATAAAAAGGTTTGGTTGAATGTTGTTTTCCTCCACCCTGTTTCTCTGATTTCGGCTTGCGTCGCTGGAAAGCCACAGTGGCTGCAGGTGTGTGCTGAAACAGTCAAGGTCAGGCAGGAAGAAAGAACAGACACCTCTGTTTTCCTCTAAATCAAGAAGCCAAAATGTCCCAAGAGTCATGTTAGGTTCGCCACCGGTCATGAATGAAACATAATAAAAGTGGATGATTGCGAGAATACATACATGGGAGGTGGCTGTGGTAAAACGCACAGATGAATGTCTTGCTTGTGCTCTCGTGTTGCAGCTTTACAATTACAATCCTTCCTGACAGTTTGGAGACGACCCCAGCACTATATTCTCTTTGTTTTTCTGTAGTGCCTCTACAGCGACTAACACCATAGAATTGTTTTTAATTGGGCTGAGAATAAAGCATCTGTGCAGCCAAGTGCGGAGGAAAGTGAATTATGGTCTGAGGTCAACTGAAAATTTCCAAAATGACATTTTGAAAATGTCGCTGCCTTCCTTTTCTCTTGTTTGTCATAATAGGATAATGTCTCTCCATTTCATCCTCTGTAACCCTTCTTCATTTTCTGTATTCCTCAATCTACTGTCATACTGTTGCATGCAGCTCCCACACTGCCACAGCTTGGGCTGGCAGAGGTGAACATGAGGACAGATGGGAGTTTGGGATGATGACAGCGGTGAGTACAAATGAATCACGCACAAAAAGTACTTCAGATGGATATTTATGGGGAAATGGAAAGGAAATTGGGTTTGATTAATGTTAGTAAAAAGACTCCAATAAACCAAGAGGTATATATGTTTTGAGGTTTCACATTCAAACCACATTCACACTAAACATTTTTATTGATTCATTGTTCAAAGGGTGTTCTCTCAGAATAACATGGATTATAACACTGGGTTTATCCTCAGTGTCCTGCAAGGACTTAATGTATCCTAAATTTAACGTATTCTTTACTGTATTATTGATAATCTTTGTCCAGTGGGTACAGAATGTCCCAGGGTCCTTGGGAGTTTTCCAAAGGGCATTCATGATGTTGTCAATGATTAAACCTGTGTAGTGGCATTCAGTGACTCGCCGTGATTTCTCGCCTGCTGTGTAGCTTTGAGAGATAAATATTTGTAGATAAAAGCCAATTTTTTTTTTTTACGGAAATACTGTTGTTCAAGCAACAATTCACTTTTGAGTGTGCCATAGCTTTCATAGCTGTCTAGTATATTTTCGAAGATTCTGGGCAAAGAAACATATAACTATCAATTAGACGTGAGGAAGTAGCCTTATGTACCTAAAAGTCAAACTGAAGCATATATCCTTTTTTTATACTTGTGTACTAATTTGGTCAAAATTGTAATTAATGAGCCTTAGCATTAAAGCTGCAGAAGGTAACTTTTATAAAAAATAACTTTTCTGAATTTTTGCTGAAACTTTCACTTACCCGACAGTAGTACATGAGACAGATAATCTGTGACCACATACTGGTGTTCTCCATTTGGTGTGATTTCTTATTAATAAATGACAATGTTGGTACTATAATTTGCCTAACATGCAGTTTTGAACTGACTACCACTTTGGTTTGAATCAGCTGGCAAATGCTGTTACCCATAGTCCAATCTGTGATTATAGCTGTCCCGTGATAAAATGTGATAATTCAGATTTCAGTTTGACTTTCACACCTGTGACATGAAAAAAAAGTAAAATCCTTTTTAAAGCTGAACAGTTTTGATCTATTCAGTTTAATTTGATCAGGAAGACAGTCGAGAGCAGGGCTGCCCAAAGTGCTGCCTGGGGGCCTAAGTTGTAGCATGTAAGGCCATAAGGTCCAATTTGGCTCACCAGGTGTTTCTAGCAGAGAACAATTAAAAATAAATGAACAAAGTATTGTAGAAATTGCTGTTCATGCTATTCTGTTTTATTGGTAGGTAAGAATGATCTTTAAATATGTATCTAATTATTTTTCATAATCTGAGTTTGGCGCAGAAAGTTCCTAGTGCCATTTTGCATCTTAACAAGCACAATACAATACAATACAATACAATACGTATTGCTTTTGGCCCGTGGCCCACCATAAAGTTTCAGTTTTGGCCCTTCAAGCCAAATAGTTTGGGCACCCCGGATCGAGACTCGATCTTCATGAAGAGTGTCCTGAGAAAAGGTCTGTCATAATTTGTCTCGATACAAATTAAACTGAACTGAAAATGGAATTGAATTTGTTTATTTAGTTTAATGGGATTTGAATGTCCTAATACAATTAAATAGTTTCAAAAAGGAGCACGGAATCATTGAATTTGGTGTATGATCAACACCAGAGTCACCAGGCCACAGCCACAGTGTCCACATATAAAAATAAAACAATGTAGCTACACAGTGTACTGCTTGTTGCTGCTGGTAGTGGGTAGAGTCATGGAGCGGCGGTGATCTATTTTGTTCCATTCTCTGTCAAAGGGTAAATCTATGGGGGAGTGACTCACCACGGGTGTTGCTGGAGAGGCGCTTGCGTTGGCTGGTGGAGGTGTTGTGAGGAAGCAGGGTGTTCTGCTGGTGGTTGCTGTCGATGGGGCTTGTGGCGATGATGTTGTCCTTGTATTTGTTCATTAGGGCCAGCTTGGTGTTGTCACTCACTGTGGAGAAGTGGGATATAATTACAAGCATGGGGAAATGAAAGCTGGGAGTAAACTAAAAGCTTTCTCTTTAAAATGAGAAAGCACCCGCTTGGAAAAACGTGTTGCTCTTGACTGGATGTAGGAGGTTTTAAAATCACAATGTAGCGAGCATAAAGTATAGTTCTGCTGAGAAAATACATCCAGCATGTTGTTTACTGGGGGAGAAATCAAACAGCTAAAATTAAAGAGTGAGAAAAGCTGGCATGAAATTAAAACTCATTAAGGGAATATACAGAAGGCATTTAAGTCTCGGAGGATGAAATTATCTATTTTGGTAAATATTAAGAGATGAAGTTCCAGGGAGACCATAAAAAATATTATTGTAGAACATGATTTCAGTGACACAATCCATAAAAGAATAATTCACCTCAGAAAATGTGATTTTTGTGTCAATTAGTCACTCCACACACATTTTTAGCCGTGTTACCTGCATGGCTTTAGGAATGGCAATATTAATCTGTCAGTCAGTCCCCAGAGGATGAATCTTCTAACTGCAGACCTAACATCTGGGGACCCCAGGTCTGCGGGCCAATTGGAAGAGACCAGGGTCCCCAGACACAAGGGAGGTCTGTGTGAAAACAAATAGCCGCTACTTTTAGGGTTCATATAACTCCTTTTGGCTCAGAATGAGATGCTAACAGTATCTTCTGTTTAAAAAAATCTGCTACACATTACAAGAAACGCTAAGTAAACACTACTTAAAGTCTTGACAGAGAAACGGGATTGCTAATTGAAGTGACCCATCTAATGACTGGGGTTCCCACATAGACTAGGGCTGTGAATTGGCAAGAAACTGGCCATACGATACATATCATGATACATACACTTTATTCGTTATTTCATTTTTTGAATCAAATTTTTAGGTAAATGGTCATATTATAAACACACCACCATATGCGTAAAATAAATATAAAAGGTTGAAACAAGTTTACTTGTTATGCAACCTGCATTTATATTTATCACAGTCCCTGTCACATCAAACATCACAGGCCTGAGTTCACATTTACAACACTGCTATATAGCGGTTGTGGGTTCAAACACAAATTTCTAATCAAATACAATATCACAAAACAAAATATCGTGCTACTCAAGTGTATCAATATTTTCTGACACCCCTAACCAATACTGCATTAGTACAGTATAGTGAAGCAATATAGATGTGTAACATTTGTATTTCACTTGTTTATGTATTCATAAGTATTCCATTATTCTAAGACAAAAGGTCAGGACAGCCAAAAGATATTTACTGAAATCTTTGTTATTATAGTCCAAATTTCCAATGACATTTTCTGAGTGACCTCTCCAGTTGTTTATATTGTTCAGTATTCTATGCATGGCCTGGTATCTGCTTTTTCTATTTCTCCAGTCCATTGCATTAACAATTTTAAATGCATAATGCACAGGATTACTGCCTTTCCATCACCTCTGGGGTGGGGTTGTTTGGGTTTTATAAGAGAACACCGTGTGAGAGTGCCGTCACCATAACGGATCTCTTGATGAATCCGAGCAGTGAATGTGCTGCTAATTGAAATTCAGAGGGTATATCTGCATCTAAACTTCTCCACTTTATAGAGTAATTCACATGGAAGTGGTTTTCAACTCCAGCGTCCACTGATTATGAAAAATAGATCTTCTAAAACACGTTCTCGGCAGGAACGTAAACCTTTGGGTTGTTTCAAGTGTGAGGAATAAACTCTTTGAAAGAATACCTGCAGTTTGATTATAGTTATACCGCATCAGTCACAAAACTAATGTTCTTACACTGATTATGAAAACAGCTGAACAAGTGCCTCATTTGTTTTTGCTGTCTCTTCTTTTACATTGATAAAGCGTTTGAAGCCTTCATGTTTGTGAAACTCAAATATCCATCCTCTATCGTTTGGTCTACATTTATTCCGATGATAACTTCCCACCTATATGAGAAAATAACACATGTTAAGGTATTTAATTAAAAATCCAATTAGCTTTGGTTTCATGCTGACTATTTCAATTATTATAACTGTGTTAATGTAATTATATTGTTCCCTGCTCAAAAAGCCATCTATCTTTAATGCATATATATCCTCCTCAGTACTAGCAAATGTCACCTTTTTGACATACTGTCTGATTACTTTGCTTTTATAAAAATGTATGGCTGTGGAAGAGGAAAACAATAAGGCTATTAATGAGATAACTGAAAGAATCTAGTTAGTTTGTAATTTAAAATGATTAGAAAAATGTCATAAACACAACAGAAGAAGCCCATAAGTCCCCTAGTATCCCAACCTAGTTTATTATTATTATTATTATTATTATTATTATTATTATTATTATTATTGATTAAATAAACGTTATGTTGACAATGCATTATTTAACAATATTACTATGTAAACATATCTTAGATTAATAGTACAGAGGTGGTTAGGATATGAACAACCATAGACCATTATTGGTACCGTCTCAGGCCAGCAGAACTACCACTGACACATAAAGTTGTTTTGATGAACAAAAAAAGTAAAACGTTTTTTATTCACACATCCAGTAGACACAATGCAACAATATACGCATTTGGAGTTACAGTGGGTACAGAAAGTATTCAGACCCCTTAAAAATGTTCACTCTTTGTTTCATTGCAGCCATTTGCTAAAATCAAAAAAGTTCATTTTATTTCTCATTAATGTACACTCAGCACCCCATCTTGACAGAAAAAAACAGAAATGTAGAAATTTTTGCAAATTTATTAAAAAAGAAAAACTGAAATATCACATGGTCATAAGTATGAATGAAACAAATGGTGAAAAATTTAAAAGGGGTCTTTGTTCTCGCTACCGCCGATCCCTCTCTTCATTCACACTCTAGCTCTCTTAACCACCGCTGCTCTCCCTCTCACTCGTTGAGGAGCCTACACTTTAGGCCTTTAAGGCTGTTTGCTGTTGTCTTTTCTGACCTGTCTGTTTGTGTGTCAGTCAACTTACCAGGGGTGAGGTCCATATTATTCTTGTCATTACAGCCCTGGAGGGAGTCCAGGGTACGGGTGACCTGGCTGGCAAACTCCTCACCACCATTCATACACTCCCGCTGCAGATGGTGACGCAGGTCGGTAATGTCGTACTCATACCTGGGCATGAGGGAGAAATCAATTAGTGTTATATTATCTGGATTTATTTAAATTAGAATAAATATCACAAGCGGGAAATGTGCTTGATGAAGCAGCCAAGATTTCAAAGTGTGACAGGACTGCTGATAAGGTATGGTCTCTAAGGTATAAGTCTTACAATCGTAAAGCTCAAAACACAGTGCAGATTACTACAGTTAGAAATAAGTGTGCAGGCTGCATTATATCAGCTGCTCTCTAGGTAGTGAATTTCAAACAATTCTAACCTTGCTGCCAGTGTGAACTGTGGAATAATGAACCACATTCACATATCATTCGTCTCAGTTACACAAGCTGTTTACTTTCACTGCATGTGTTTATTTTTAGGGTGTGCTGCTTGTACCCATCCAGAATTGGTGTCTCCCGGATGCTGAGGGTGCCGCTGGAGTTCGGCCCCTGACCCCGGGAGTTTCTCAAGCTCTCCCGGGCCTGGCCTCCCATCAGCACTGAGGGGATGTAGTGGATCTCATTAGCTGCCTCGGCGCTAGCGCTCTTCTGGGGCTGAGGGATGCGGCGGCGTTTACACCAGCGCCTGCGGGTGTAGAGTATCAGGACCAGGCACAGGATGGACAGCAGAAGGGCGATCATCCCGCCCTAAGGGGAAGTGGGTGGCATTTGGAGCAGAGACAGAAAAAAAGGGGAGAGGAGAAAAAAGCAGAGAGAGAAAGAGAGAGTCAAAGGGGAGAACAGATTCAGAGAATCTTGCCAAGTAGAATACAGATCAAAGTCACAGCCGCGATGCCAACAGCACAATATGAAAAAGGTTGCAGATGCAATTTAGTGAATAACACCTACAGTGTTTTTAAATGACAGTAACTCTCATGCTACTGTGCGCTCATTTCACCTTGAGACAAAGTACAGGAAAGTTCAGAACATGGCTCTTGGCTCATTTCTAGTAATTTAAGGCCATGTGGGATGAGAGCAAGGGTCGGCAGCTGTGAACCGTATCCCCACTGAAAGTACTGAGGTCCATGCCCAGACTGCTAAAGCAATGCTTCCCATATTTTACTAATAATACATGCATTCAATATCACACTTGTGTCTGTATGATGAATGCCATGTGTAGCTAAAGCCAGCAGTCAATTAGCTTAGCTTAGCACACAGAAACGGGTAGCCCGGCTCTGTACAAAGGTAACACAAATTATTATTTTTTGTTTGTTTTTGGTTTTATTGCCATCTATATGCTGAATGATTGCTTGCCACACGCAGTAACATCCTGGAGTATTGAAAGGTCGGCGAGAGCTTTGAACACCATATAAAATACAATACACGATATTATTGTGTATCGCAATAAAAAAACACTCGGATAAGTATATCGTGGTTAATTTGCATTATCGGGATAATGGGGAATAATAATAGTCAATATACTCACATGAATGACTTGAAAAAGCTGTCTAGCTCACTAGCATACAATGCTGTATTGATTTCCTGATTTATTTATGAATTGCCACAAGGGGGAGCCCACGTCTCTCCAGTCATTCCAAAATCCTAAACCCGTCACCATGGCTAAAGGCTCGACTTGCCCATTGTATCCCCCACTTAAAAAATGTTCAACCGGATGTGTGGTCGTACTATGGATTGCAAACTAAAGAACGACAGAGAGATATGGTCCTACCTGTAATGCAAGAAAAATATTTGTTTCTTAACAAAATGAAAGAGAATCCTGTAAGATTTAGAGTATATTTTGATGATTATCGTGATAATATCATGAATCGCAATAATTATGGCCAGGGTAATCGTGGGGTATCATCGTAGGATGATGTAGGATATCAACATTTCTTTGAGCTTGATTACAGTGACAATTATTTACATTGCTCTAACAGGTGAAATGTCTGACTTCTGTGCAGATGGAACAGTTGTGTGCATTTTGCATTTCTATGACAAAACCACAACCTGTCATGTCACCAATATTAGCTGCTGCTCAACTGAATATTTAAACATGGTTTTAAATACGGTGATTTCAATGTTTACAGCTTTTTTCTACCATATTGACAAGGTCGAAAAAAAGGTTTATATAAGTAAGTCGATCTATGAACTCTGAGTCATAAGGAAAACAATTCTGCTCACAGCCTGTAGAAAAATGGGAGGGAGAAGTCGATTGTGACTTTGAATATCAACTCATATGTACTCCTGGAAGCGCTGATGCCAGATGACTGGGTCAGGTCACATGACCACTTTCATTTTACTCTTTTTTCTCTGACTTTAATGACTTATGAGCCGGTTTGTGGGATTCAGGGCTGCAGCTGCATCCACACCAGCACCTGTGGGCGTAGAGGATTGGGCACAGGCACAAGATGGACAGATGAAGGGCGTTGAGCCTGCCCTGAAGACAGGTTAGCAGGCGGGACAGAGACAGAATCAGACAGAAACCGGAGAGAAAGAGAGACAGCGAGAAGGAGAGAGTCAAAGAGAGAGCGGGAAAGGCGAGAGCAGAGTCAGAGAATCTTGCCAAGAAGCAGGATGAGGATCAAAGTCAAGGCAAATCAAAAGCACACAGCCCGTGGAAACACAGGGAAGAGAGACAGCGATTGTCAGCTGGAATATTAGACCATTTCTCCTCCGTGAATAAAGAGCATATTTCTGGACAGTTTCATTTAACCCATTTCTTTTATCTAATTCCATTATTTGCTTTTTTAAGGTTACTGAAACGACAATTTAGAGGAAGTGACAGGAAAGATAAGATAAAATGCTAAAATGATTCTAATTGGGCCCATCATGTTTCATGTACAGCGTGTGCAATTTACCACATCCTTGTACCTAATCTGATGCTAGGAGTGAAATCAAAATCAGTGCAATCTGGAAAATGTCAAAAATAGTTATGAAAATGTCAATCTGACAGCTCAAATAGGAGAAAGACAGCAGTGATTTACTACTGGAGACGGACCTTAAAAAAAGAGTGAATCCCTTCGAAAATATCATGCCCATTTAAAATTATAGCAAAAGAAGTGGATGAATTCTCCCTCCAGCAAGGTGCATACCGATGCTTCTGTCTTCTCTGCCCATACTGCACTTCCCCTCACACAGATCAATCCGGAATTTCAGTGATTTTCTCTTTTAATTGTCATTTGAGAGGTACAAGGCCAGTGCAAATCCCTGCAGTTAAATTATTATGAAAAGAAAAAGTCATCAAAAGATGCGAAACAAAAGTGTGTCCAAAACAACTGTAGAATAATAAGGTTTATGTGGAAACGTGGAATGAAAAAAAAACAAAACAATTAAAATGAAACTGTGTCAGTTCAGTCAAACAAGCAGAGTTATGGAAAGATAAGCAAAAATGATGAAATGAAAAATAGATTTTAATCAGTCATTTACATAAAAAATCCCTTTTCAAACATATTAGGAATTTGGAGGCTGAATAAAAATGAGGGTTTCACTTGCTCATATTAATTTAAATTGGCAAAAGTAGAGGCCTATCTGCATAAATTGTTTGCTTAATCTGCATAGTCAAGGACATTAACAAATGACACCATGATATGGGCCACTTATGCAGCAAATCTGCATGCACAGTGGTCAAAAGGGAGACCAGAGTAATTTGGTTTGTAATGATTAAATTTTCAGCACTTTGAAAGTCACTGATGAAGTCCCCCTTTCAAACTCAAATTAAACCGTCACTGTACACTAAATACAACATGTTACCTATAGGGCAAACTAGGGCCAAACTGAATTCGAGGATACTTTTATAAGGGCTTTAACTATATTTTAAGATGTTGTAAAACAATATGGAGGTAAGCCTTAAGTGTGTGTTTCATTAACACATACTTAATTCTAAAAGCTGCACTGATCCTTATTTTTGAATTAACAATGCAGCGAATGATAATAATGTCACATAAATATAAAGTGAAAGGAGTTGCTCAAAGTGACAAATGCATATTTTCACCATACTCTACATTTCCCCCTTAGCTCTACAATGCATTTTAGTGTCTTTCAGCATATTGTGTTGGTTTCATGGCCCGCAGCTATACTTCTGTGGTTTTGCCTCACCAGCATACAGTGGGCTTCAATAATACCATCTGACTAGCACCAAAAGCCATGAAGCAGATAAAGAGCCAGGTATTTATTTCAAGACCAAAACAGAGGTTGACGAGAGCAAATACTGGACGCGGACATTTGAGACGTTGCCAGAGACACAGTAAATGATTCCTAATGTTCCTTGTCTGTTTTATGTGTAAACATTCAATAGTTTGCTTACACGTCAGCTAGGAATGTAAAGATATATTGTGAGACAGTTAAATTGTGACACAAATATGTAAAGATTCAAATGGATGAGATGAAAAATGAATTGTGCTATCAATCATGGTATCAAGGTGCAAAGACATTAGTTTAACTTCACAAAAGGAAAAATGCATTGTTTTTTATAATATGATAAAGAAAATGTAAGAGAAAAATGGACACTGAGGACTATGAAGTTGGATGTTACACAGATTGTGATGAATACAAAATGTATGCATATTGTGTTCTTTATACTTTGACACTTTTTCTAATATTAGATTTAAAAAAACGCAATATATCACAATACATTGAATTGTAACCCCTGTATCGTGATACATATGTTATTGCCAAATTCTTGTCAATACACAGCCCTAGTGTATGTCAACATTCAACACTTTGTTTGGCTTAATAAATTGTACTGTACTGTAGTGTACTGTCACTTTATTATACAATCAATTGATTCAGTTACCAGTCCATAGTGGTAACTGTCCCCCATGACCCTGAAGTATAAGACATTAAGCCAACAGCCCCAAAGGATGGAAATCCAGGTATTACTGTCTCACTGTGTATGTAACTCCTGTTTTGAGTTGTAATTTGAAGAGACACTTAAAGCATGCAACCAACAGGGTCACAGTTCCATATGAGTGAAACACAATGCCACCTGTGTAGACATCTGCATTGATTAAAAGTGAGATTAACGACTGAAAAATGTGTCTGAAAAGCATCCATTGTAGACAGTCAAGTGGAAAGACAGAGGGACACTTTTCATTTTTTTGAAGTTCATGCTTCACTTTTTTCTTCTTGTCATTAATATGGTAAAATACATAGTTGAAGAATTTTCAAACTTGATGAATGAATATATAACGATTTCCCTACTGAAGTGCTGATTTAATGTCAAGTACCGCCGTTGTTTCTTTCCTCCCTGAGTAAACTAGAATAAGATGTCAAATGTCAAGTACTTGAAATGGTTCTCAATCAGATCTTCCTCGGTGACAAATGTAATTTAAACCCATCAACCTGCATTAGCGCCCATGCTTAGAGGGAGCTAATATAGACGACTTGGAAAAAATACTGTTTAATGTCAGGCATTACTTGGAATCAAAGTGAGGACTAAGTGGACTGTGTTCTCTTATGGAGCCAATAAAACCAAACCACACATCAAGGCATGCCAGCGCTCCAACCCATAATCCACTTACTAACGGATGAGGATGATGTTATAATGGCACCAGTGCGCCTTATGACTTACACTCCTGTCATGTAAGTCCTGAATGGAAGAGAGAAGACATGGCCTTTCTCCGTCTGACAGAGCAGGCATGGTATTAGAGCTGAGCTATCAATCTGTCACTTAGTATCTGGATGCGAGGCATTAAGACACAGGAAGGCAG